GGCAGAGTCCACTCCTCTCGTCCCGCTGTGATCCATCCGGGGTGTGGGTGGGCAGGCCTTGCATCTGTTGAAGCTTTCTCATTTCTTGGAGGATCGATGACTGTGGCTATTAATATTACTTAGCACTTGGGTAAGTGTTTAGCAAAGCATTGCACGTTTGTTACGTCACAACCAACTGATGTGGGCGCTGTGATATGGCTGAGAGGATAGCTGTTGTTCAAATCTGCGGCATTCAAAGTGAGATGGTAGTTTTTACATCAAAATCTGTTTCTGGTCATCGATCCCAGCAGGAAGACTGAACTACTGCTGCAGGCAGGAAACTAAATATATTTTGAAAGCTTGCAATTGAGACTGTTGTGCCCAGCAGGAAGCAAGATTTCTGGTCAATGAGAACAAATCTTCTATCTCCACCACAAACCCTAGATGCATAAGCAAGCCATATCTAGATAGAAAATGTAGGAAACATTGATGGATGAAAACTGAGAAAGAAGAGGGTGAGTAATAACATAACTAAACTATGTTTGAATCACTTTTATCCTTGGAATCCGAATTCTGGGTTGCAAATTAATAACTGAAGTTAATTCGTCAACTGTTTGTTTTTTATCCTGGAGGACTTCTTGAGTACATTTCAATAAATCCCCACATAAGAGGGAACTCTGGTTGAGAAACCTCAAGTAGAAAGTTGGCTATATGATTTGCAGGAAATATCTTTTCTGCAAGACATGATTTTTATTAAAATGGATGTAAAGAAATCAGGATATGAATGATAATAGATGAGGTTGTTCGAAGTAGATAACAGTTTCTGCTAGGAAGTGAAAAACAAGAACTGGGGCTGGCACATGTCTCAGAGGGGATGCCAACTATTGTTTAACACAGTGGTTCCCAACGTTTGTTTGACCAGGAACCATTTGACCAAGGTCACTCTCCAACATTAGTATTAAAAGTTACGAATAAGTTTTTGGTCAACTTTAGATTCAGTTTGGTTATTTAGATTCAGTTTGGTTATTCAGTTTGGGGTGCTGATTCAAACATCTGCATTGGATAGACCACATCAGCTCTAGTTTCTGGTATAGAACATATGCCATCCAGTAGTTGCCATCTGCTTGCCCACAGAAAACTATATTTAACAAGCCTTGGCACTATTAGAGGATTTTGCAAGACCAGTAGCTCTTGGTGCAACGGTGTAGTAACAGTGAGGCCACGCACCATATCTTAGTTCTTACAGACCATTAGTGATCCACGATCCACAGGTCAGGAACCACTGGTTTAAGACAAGACCAAGCTCCAAAGAGATAATGTAGGACCTTGCTCCAGAGAGATGTTGTTTGTTGTCCAGTTGACCCTCCCTATCTGCACACTTGGATCAGTGTATTCAATCAATTGAAGATTCAATAATAAACAGTACAACATACAGTACACAAGACAAGTAGCATAGTATTTACACTCATTTATAAGGCTGGGGAGACATGAAGCTGGATAGAGACTGAGGATCTGCCAAAAGCTGGGAATCCAAGCACAGTGCTGAGAAAAGATCATTATAGAGTTTGTCTGTGAACACTTCTCAAAAATGCTGTGACTACTATGAAAGAGTCATACATAGTTCAATAAGTGTTACAAACCATTGGGGTTAGGAAAATGCTTTGGATGAACCATCTCTGCTTATGGATCATGGAATTAGCAGGATTATGGAAAGTCCCACTTCCAAAATACCTTTGATTAAAAAAACCTGATAAAATATGAGGAACACAACATTATTAGGTGGATTTCTAACTAATCAATTGATTATACTCCAAAATTGCTTACTGATGCATCCTTATTTTCCTGATAATAAATAAAGTACAAGATTCTGTCTGTGTCTGGTGTTTTTAATCATTTTCACAACTGACCTGGATGAAGCAGAAGACGGGGATGTGCATTTGGTCTGCAGTAACAAAAATGAATTGGGAGCTATGGCAATATCTCAGAACACAGACTCACAAAGACCTCAGTAGATTTGAGAACTGGGCCAAGACTGGGTCAAGAGATCTCAACATTTGGAAGGTAAGTGCTACTGACCGTGGAATGGACTACCTCAGAAACAGAGTGTCAATGGCCACACACCAGGAATTGTTTAGTTGTTAATACTTGCACTGACATGAATGAAGTTGGACTGAATGATCATTGTAGGCTCCTTCCAACTACAGTTCGGATTTCACGATACATGCTCAATAAGTGATTAGATATCAGAACAGATCCCAACTATTTGAGGTGCCAGATGTTTTTTTAAAAAAAACTATTTTAGATTGCGTTAGGGATCTGCCAATCTATCTATAACCGTTAAATATTGTCGAAGGCTTTCATGGCCGGAATCACTGGGTTGTTGTAGGTTTTTTCGGGCTATATGGCCATGTTCTAGAGGCATTCTCTCCTGACGTTGCGCCTGCATCTATGGCAAACAACCTCTGAGGATGCTTGCCATAGATACAGGCGAAACGTCAGGAGAGAATGCCTCTAGAACATGGCCATATAGCTCAAAAAAACCTACAACAACCCTATAACTGTTAACTCTGGATGGTTCATATATGTGACAAGACCCTACATTGGCCACTACAAAAAATAGGCCAAGGGGAGGATTAGAAGGTAATAGTATACGCTGTGTTGTTATGTCAGATACTCAGAAATAATTCTGGATTTTCACAAAACAGATACCTTGTACAAATATATTGATTCATGCGAAAGACAATGCTCCATTTCTCCTTGAAGTGGTTAATGTTCCAAAGAGTCCTAACCCTGTTACAGTTAATTTTTAAATTTTTCATATGGCATCCAATTATAAAAAGTCTTTTGCTTGAATATCAAGCAAAAAGTGGGTCCTAGAAATGACATCATACGAAATTTGACTGGCACAACCTGGGTACTCACAACCAAACACAGTAAAGACATCTGTCTTTGCACTTTGCTACTCTGCTGCTGAATATGCATGGCCAGTGTGGAACACATCTCACCACGTTAAAACAACGAATGTGGCTCTTAATGAGACATGCCGCATTATCCCACAATGTCTATGCCACACACCACTGGAGAAATTCTACTGTTTAGCTGGTGTTGCACCACCTGACATCCTCTGGGAAGTAGCAGCCTATAATCAAAGGACCAAGACAGTGATATCTCCGATCCATCCTCTGTTCCGATATCAGCCAGCATGCCAATGCCTTAAATCAAGAAACGGCTTCCTGAGATCTACAGAGATACTTGCAGGAACACCTCAGCAAGCAGGAGTCCCAAAGTGGCAGGCTAAAACCCAGAACCTCAGTCAGTGGTTGAAACCAGATGAGAGACTCCCTCCTGGGCACACAGAAGACTGGGTGACTTGAAAGGCGCTGAACAGGCTGCGCTCTGGCACCATGGGGTGCAGAGCTAACCTTAAGAAATAGGGCTACAAAGTGGAGTCCACAACATGCTTGTGTGGAGGAGAGCAAAACACAGACCACCTGGTACAATGCAGTCTGAGCACTGCCACATGCACAATGGAGCACCTTACAGCAACATCAGAGGCACTCCAAGTGGCCAGCTTCTGGTCAAAGAACATTCAGCATAATGCCAAGTTTCTAACTTTCTTTGTGTTTTTAAATACATTACAATTGTACCCTCAATTTGCTTCTGACACGAAGAGAGCTTTTCCTGATTCCTTCTCCAGAGGGATAGAACCAAAGAAATGTGAGTAATAAATGGCTTCTGGTTGGAACCAGAGGAGGCTCCATCTTGCAGTTTTCTCACAGCTTCCTTAACCTCAGAACATGTGGAATTTCTCCCTTGTCCCACCTTAAAAGGGACTGTGCCCAGGACTATAAATAGAGGGATAACAATCAAAATACAAATCTTTAAAAAGAGTTTGCCCCGGTCTATTACATATGCATTTCCTTCATCGACCTGGTTATCCCCCTTATGGGAACAGTGGGCTCAATGGAAGGACATCAATCTGGCCAAAGCTTTGACAACTTCCTCTCTGCAAAAACACTGGCTGGAGTTGTTGAAAAGCTACAGTCAAGATACCATTTTACTTGGTTAATTTAACTTCCCCAGTTTCTCCATGAAAGGCTGCATAGAACAAAAGACAACATCCATGGTGAAAAAATACATTTTAATTATTTTTCAATAAAATGGACCCTGGCCAACTTTCAAGGAATAAAAAAGAACCCATAATCAGCACTTGAGCTTAGCATCTGGATTTCCAGTTTCCAGAGGTGGCTATTCAACATTTGCTCATATATATTCAGATGAGCAAATCCAACCCAATTTCCCCACCTTGAAAGATGAGTTAATGTTTTGTTTAGTGATCCACAAAAAGGCTCCTATACCACTGGATTCACTTTTTCTTCAAGGGCGTCTTCAGTTAAGCGCAGGCGTTTTGATTCCGGTTGCTGTGTATTATCCACACCTACAATAATAAGACAACAGGTTATCTGAATCCACACAGATTTGCATAATTTACTTGTATAAATTTCTGAAGCTGTTTCTCATGCAGTCTTCAGGCCACTTAACAAAACAGTATGTTGCCCAATTCTGAATCAGAGCCCTGATCCATCTAACTCAGCTTTATCTTCAGTGAAGGTTGTGGAGCTGGTACACTATACCTTGGAATCCAATGCCTATATTCTTTCTACTCTTTCATAAATGGTAAATAATCAGTAATAACAAATATGTTGTAAGGCAGATTTTAGCACCGTCACCCCATGACTCATCAGACTACTTAGACTGAGAGAACATAAAATATATTTCTGTTATTAAAATATCTGAACAATATCTCACAACCTCTGAGGATGCCTGCCATAGATGCAGGCAAAACATCAGAAGAGAATGCTTCTAGAATATGGCCATATAGCCCAAAAAACCTACAACAACCCAGTGATTCCAGCCATGGAAGCCTTCGACAATACATCTGAACAAGACTTCTATAAATTATTTTGAATTAAATATGCAATAAACCAGGCATTTAATGTAAGGTTTTACTTTGAAGTTGAATCCAGTACATTTCCATTAACTCCAACTCAATCCAAATTTGCCTCCGATTTTGGATCCATACTAACTGGCAGTAATATCTCCAGAAAAGACACTGGAGTGGATGTAAAGAAATAAAAAAAACTAGTGATCTACAAGATACAGAGTACTTTATGCACAGTAGGGATTTTTTTCCCACCCCATTTTCAAGTATAGTTCTTCCAGACCACTAAGGGATCACTCCTTCAGGGACAGGGCAATCAATATGACAGGAGATTATTTGAATGAAAACCTCCCTGTGAGTATCTGTATCCTTTCAGCCTTGGCCATGGAGCCTAGGATTTTTTCCCCATGTCAGGACCTACTTGAGAAGCTGCAAGTTGCTTCTGATGTGGGAGAATTGGCTATCTGCAAGGATGTTGCCTAGAGGATGCCCGGATGTTTTACCATCCTTTGGGAAGCTTCTCTCATGTCCTCGCATGAGAAGCTGGAGCTGACAGGGAGCTCACCCTGCTCCACGGATTCGAACCACCGACCTTTCAGTCAATAGTCCTAATGGTACAAGGGTTTAACCCATTGTGCCGTGGTGGCTCCTATGTACAAATTAAAATGTATTAAATCATTGGAAAATCACTTTTTATAGGACAAGAATGCATATCCTAAGCACATATTTTTCAATTCCTGACAAATTTGTTCAGATAGATTTGGTACCTTTTGGAAGCAAGCTCCATATTATTATTATTATTATTATTATTATTATTATTATTATTATTAAGTATATTTTTCATATCGGGAGCAACTTCAGAAGCTGCAAATTGTTTCTGATGTGAGAAAATTGGCCATTTGCAAGGATGCCCACGGGACACCTGGATGTTTGATGTTTTACCATTCTTGTGGGAGGCTTCTCTCATATCCCTGCATGGGGAGCTGGAGCTGACAGAGGGAGCTTAACCCTCACTCCCCAGATTCAAACTTCTGACCTGTTGGTCAGCAGTACTGCCGGCACATGGGTTTAACCCATTGTGCCACCGAGGGCTATAATAATAATAATATGCTTTATTTATATTCTGCTCTACCTCCCTGAGGGGACTCAGAGTTGATTACAGAATACATTTATGGCAAACATTCACTGCCATTATACAGTTAACAACAAAGACAGAGGCAAAAGCTTCTGGGGAGCTTAAGATCAGAGTGACAGAAAAAGTAAACATTTGAGACTGCCCATCAAATTGTTCAATTCTTCTAGAAGAAAGCATGAAAATGTGTTGAGAATATGTAATAAATGAATATGAATGTTCAATTCACCACAGCTATATGCTGAGAAGGAAGAGGGGCCGACCAAGGGCAAGATGGATGGATGGCATCCTTGAAGTGACTGGACTGACCTTGAGGGAGCTGGGTGTGGACGGCCGACAGGGAGCTCTGGCGTGGGCTGGTCCATGAGTCACGAAGAGTCGGAGACGACTGAACGAATGAACAACAATATGCTGAGAAAGTGACTGAGAACAGCTTTTCCGTACATAAAACTGATACATGTGTAGTCATCATGTTTTTTGATGTTTGTCATGTTATTTCCCTCTGTTCTCCCTTGCCAGAATATCATCATGTCTGTTTTGGTTCAGAAGCCTGTCTATAAGACCAGAGTGATCAGAGTTCATAATTTAAGAATCTCCCCTGGACATTAATCTATTATGAAAAATTGTTTTCAAACACGATGAACCCGTTTCCTGGGTGAATTTACCTGCCAGAGATGATGGTGGCTTGTACAACACTTTGGCAAGAAGACGGAAGCTAATGCACATCATATCTTTATTGGGGGCCACGTTCCTCACCAGCTCCACCGAGCACAAGCCCTCTAAGGAAGTTCTCAAGCAAGCTTCGGCTCGTTGCTGAACGTCCTGTGCAGGATTTTCATGCTTGGAAAAGCAATGGCAATGCACTGTGGGAAGCTCTGTGCCGCTGGGTTCTCCATCCAAAAGGTGCTGGAAAACATCCAGGAATTCAATGGCCATGGCTGGCAAATTCATGATGATATGTAGGGAACTTTTACGCTCTTTCAGAGAGAGTTGCTTGACCAGTTCTTCCTTCATCGGCCCCTTCATGAACTCTCTGCCATCCATGTTGAAGACTTGCACTTTTGTGTCCACTTTGTTCAGTTTACAGTTGTGCTGCAGCCACTTGTAGGACTCGGGATTGAGGTCATTTGCAAACACAATACAGTTCTTCTTTGCTGCAGGGATAGCAAAGGGCCCCACCCCAGCAAAGATGTCAAAGAGAACATCGCCAGGCTTCAAGAGGTTGACAATGCGTGCGTGTTCGGTGGAGAGGCGGGGATTCCAGTAGACCTTGGAAAAGTCAAATTCGTAGGAGATGTAGTTTTCTTTAACCTACAAGAGTCCAAAACACAGCCTATATCAGATATGCACTCAGGAAGAGCTGCACTGATGCAGTCAAAAGTTTTATTATGACCAAGACTACATCTTTACTACAGAGAAGGAAAGCTCCAAGGACTGTGATGCACCAGTGTAGCCAACTGGGATATTTGTGGATATGAATCTTAGTGTTGGAAGAGACCACAAGGGCCATCTAGTCCAACCCATTTCTGCCATGCATGAACACACCAATCAAAGTACTCCCAACAGTTGGCCATCCAGCCTCTGTTTGACTTCTGCAGCTACCCAGCCCAGTCCTATTTTTTTTGCAAACTGCAATGGGCAGGCCTTTGAGTGGTGCAACTGCAAGGAAATTTCACAGCACAATAACATTTTAAACCACTTTCTGTGGTCTCCTCCACCAGCCTAATGCAAAAGAATCACTGGGTTGCTGTGAGTTTTTCCAGACTATCTGACCATGTTCCAGAAGCATTATCTCCTGATGTTTCGCCCACATCTATGGCAGGCATTCTCAGAGGTTGTGAAGTCCTTAAGAGGGCCAAATTTAGGCCAAGAGCTCCCGACATTTGCTTAGAAGGTGTAGAAGCCATCTGTCATATATGCAGAATTCTTTTGTTCTATTAGGGTAAAGGTTTTCCCCTGACATTAAGTCCAGTCATATCCGACTCTGGGGGTTGGTGCTCATCTCCATTTCTAAGCCAAAGAGCTGGCATTGTCCGTAGACTCCTCCAAGGTCATGTGGCTGGCATGACTGCATGGAGCGCCATTACCTTCCCGGGAGCAGTACCTATTGATCTACTCACATTTGCATGTTTTCTAACTGCTAGGTTGGCAGAAGCTGGGGCTAACAGCGGGAGCTCATGCTGCTCCCCGGATTTGAACCTGCAACCTTTCGGTCAGCAAGTTCAGCAGCTCAGTGCTTTAACCCACTGTGCCACCGGGAGCTTCTGTTCTTGTTTATTTAACATACAAGAACTAAAGATGGAATGGGCACCCGGAAACATAACAAGGAGGTCGCGAGCTGGAAACCAGGTTTTATAGTCTGGGGCTCCACACTAAAAGATATAGAACAATGCTCATTTTTAGTATGGGATTTAAATATAACTCATTCTCTAGGGCAAACAGAAAAAGTTATCCATCAAATTAATTTTGCATGCATCCCTTGACTAGGAAATGACCAAGTGAGTGTGTTTTGGATCCAAAATATTGTAAAATGTGATATCATGCAGAAATTGTACTGTTCATATGCCTTTTAAAACTTCCGTATCAGCTCCCAAATACAAGACACATCATATAAATCCATCCTAAATATTGCTGGAAGGGATTCAAAGTGCTTACCTATTTTCCTCAAGCCAAATGCATACATGTTGAACGGGAAAGCTACTACATTTCTGAAGGAACAGAATACCATACTAGGTTTGTACACTAGCTCTAAAATGAGTTTCTCCAATAGTTTGTTAATGCCTTTGGTTATGCGGTTCAAAACAATTTAATGTGGGCCATAAATTCAACCAGTAAGCTATACTCTTTCTACTTGAGGCTTATGAGCAGAGCTGTGATTTCATTTAGGCTCAACTGGGACATCTGAGACTATGTAGACTGCCAAGTCTGTCAAACCCAGAGGAAGGGAAGCATTAGTATGTTGGATTGCATCTTTCCATAATGTCTACACTTTGCTTTGTCTTCTCTCTCTCTCTCTCTCTCTCAATGTAATAATTTAACCCTCTTTTTGCTACCTGGAAATAACTCTTAAAAGCTGCAGTACCTTTGTTGTCATGTTGCTCTCATCTCCAGCCAGCACCTCCATTTGGAAGTTTCGATAAGCACTCTCAATGGTATTGATTTTATTTACAGCACAGGTGATACCATTATTCTTGTCAATAATAACTTGGCCTGAAAGTAAAGGAGACAGGTTATTAGTTTTCTATATTAAAAAAGCAGAAATGTGATTTAAGCATATCCAATGAAAACCAGTTCCATTTTTCATTAAATCAGTGCTTTTGTTTATTAATCACAAGTAACATTTTCGACAGCTGTCCCAAAGAATGACACTGCCTTTGTCGATAGCTGTGTGCGTACAACTGTTCTCTAAATCTAAGGAATTATCAGTTACCCTTTAAGACTGAAAGCGACTGATACCCTTTTACTGTTATGCATCCAATACCTTAGTCCTTGAGACAAAAGAAGAAGATAGAAGGAGAAACACAGCTTTGAAATTTTCTTTTAAAATGTTACTTTCTCAACTACAACTCTCAGAATTCCAAAGTCAGCGTGGCCAAACACTGGGGAACAATGGAAGTGGGGAAAGAAAAAGGTAGATGACCTCAATAATTTTTGTAAAAGCAAGAAAGTCTTGTGGTAACTTAACCAGTAACAAATTAATCGCAACATGTGCTTTTTAAATCACTGCACAACACTCATTTTAGGACAGAGTAACTCATTGAATTTAGATTGGTCAGTTGTAGATTTTTCTCCTAATAAGGAGTTATTTAGGATTGGGTAAGAGACCTACACTATTGCAGTACCCAATCACAGTATTGTAAGGTAAAGGTAAAGGTTTCCCCTTGACATTGAGTCTAGTCATGTCCGACTCTGGGGGGTGGTGCTCATCTCCATTTCTAAGTCGAACAACCAACGTTGTCCGTAGACACCTCCAAGGTCATGTGGCCAGCATGAATGCATGGAGCATCGTTACGTTCCCACCAAAGTGGTACCTATTGATCTACTCACATTCACGTGTTTTCAAACTGCTAGGTTGGGCAGCGTGTTTGGCAGTCCATACAACCCCAGGAGACTCACAGACCAGAAAACTGACCAGCTCTAGACTCTAGAAACAAAATCAGCTTGAAATGGTACAAGACCTCCCCCATAGAAACAATGCCCAGTTTGGTACAACAATGTTATAACCTCAACTTAGATCAAAACTCCAGAGTCTATATTTATTTATTTATTTATTTATTTATTAATGCGCTTGTATACCGCTAATATCTCAGCCTAAATCGGCGACTCATTGCGGTTTACAACACTTAAAAAACAACAATATTCAATTTAAAAGCATAAAAACACATAAACCATACAAAATTATTGGGCCACCAATAACAATCCAAATGCATCTCGTAACTGGAATCGCAATCCAAATTCATCGTCTATGGTTACCAATCCTTAATCATCAAGATTCGTTTCGTCGGGTTATCCGAATGCTTGTTCAAACATCCATGTCTTCAGTCTTTTCTTATTAAACAAATATTATTAATTTATTAATTTATTATTTATTAATTTATTAATTTATTATTTATTAATGGAAGTGGGGAAAGAAAAAGGTAGATGACCTCAATAATTTTCTATATATACAGAATGGCTGGCTCAGCTATTCACAGGCCACTTTTTGCCTATTACTCTTTTCTGTTTCTTTATCAAGAGCTCACAATGCAATTCACAATAAGCCACATTATTCATGGGTTGTTGTAGGTTTTTTCGGGCTATATGGCCATGTTCTAGAGGCATTTCTCCTGACGGTTCACCTGCATCTATGGCAAGCACCATCAGAGGTGTTGACCTCACTACCTTTGAGGATGCTTGCCATAGATGCAGGAGAAATCGTCAGGAGAAATGCCTCTAGAACATGGCCATATAGCCCGAAAAAACCTACAACAACCCAGTGATTCCGGCCATGGAAGCCTTCGACAACACATTATTCATGTCGGGTATCTAAAAGCCTGAATCCTTTTTGTGTGTCACATGCTTGAAGCAAATTTAAAGAACAACTGCTGAATCACTAAAATGTGGACTACTACAAACCTTTACCCACACGTACCAATTAAATGCTTATAAGGTAGCTGATGGTCTCTGAGATTCAAGTGAGCGATGTGTCCGACTCTGCTAAACGCTGTGGTCACTTCCTGGCCTTCAGGAAGCACTGCTTGCAGAATTTCTTCCGCCTTGAAATGGTCGTATGTCAGCTCCACGTTGTAACTGATTATCTCGGGGTTAATGTTAAAGCTCTTTAAGATCTCTTTCTCAGGTTCACCAAGGGAACCATCAGCAGACATTTTGTGAGGATCTAACAAAATGAACCTTCTGCTTTCATCTTCTGGGTCTTCAATAACTCTCTTGAGACCTGGTCGCTTGATCATCACCTCCTTAAGGGACTTCACCAGTTTGTTTGTGATGTCTTTGTTCACCTTAATTGCTGGTACCACAACATTCTTTTTGAAAGCATCTCTGTTCAGTCTGGTCATCCCACGAACCCTGGGATGAGGGACGTTGAGGTCAAGTTCAACCTTCTTGTCAAACATCTCCGGCATTGTGAAAATACTATTGCTCTGAGCTACTACTGAAAGATGTCCAGGAAGTCCAGGAAGAGGCTGGTCCCAAAGCTTCCAAATTGCTGAAAATGATATATGGGATGCAGTTGTTCCAAAATCTTTCGTTTTCAGGAGTCCAGCAAATAAGCCATTTAATTGCCTGCAAATCCTAGAAAGGAAATTATTCGTTTTATAGACATTATGTAAGCGTTTAGGCAGAAATGTTACAAACAGGCATGTCTGCACTGGTCTCATAAATTCACCTGCATGAGATTATTTGAATTTTAACTTTAACCAGAGCTGTGACAGGAGAGCTGGGCTGGATCCACACTGCCAGATTTTAACTTTAACCAGAGCTGTGACAGCTTTCTGTATCCACAGAATTAAAAAGAAATCACTGCTTGAAATTCTTCCCCATTAACAACAATTTTGTTTACAAAAAACAAACCTTGATTTTGCCACTTTATATAACAAATACAACTTTACTATGCCATTATATATATAATGGAACTAGAATATTCACAAATTTTGGTATCAAAAGAGGTGCTGGAAACAAATCTCAGTGGATACTAAGTGTCCTCTGTACTATTAAGAGTCACAATTTTGCAATGGCTCTTTTTGAACATTTGTGTTGAAAACAATAATACTAATAATAATAATAGTAATAACTTTACATACAATATCATCATCATCATTTGGTATCTTGTTGCCTGTAGCTCTTTTCATGGCCTATAGTGATTAACCTTGAGCTCTCCAATAATAATAATAATAGTAATAATAATAATAAGAAGAAATAGTAGTAGTAGTAGTAGTAGTAGTAGTAGTTATGTTTCTGGTTTGAAAGTGTTATTTCCTGATTAATTGTGTGGCCCTTACTTTGAAAGTAGTTTTTCTGCTCCAGAAACTTTATTTTTGTGGCTGAGGATAGTGTTATAATTTAATTCAGTCTCTAGGCACTTTGTTTGTAATTTTCCTTAATGAAAATATGCCATTTTTAATGTTTCAATGTGCAGACTGCAATAAAGTTTTTGCAGTTTAATCAACCTTTTCCATGATTTTATAATATAACTTATTGGGAAATGGCATAACCCAGGAACAAAAATTGGGCTACATAGTGGAATCATTCCCTCACACTTGATCAGTGGTTCCCAGGTTAATAACTGGGGCGGCATACAACTCCCATGTTACACCAGCTCCACAGGCTGCCAGTTTGCTACCGAGCACAATTCCAAATGCTGGCTTTGGCCTATAAAGCCCTAAACGGTCCCGGGCCAAATTACCTGTCTGATTGCATCTCCCCCTATGAACCATCATGGAGATTAAGATCCTCAGGGGAGGCCCTGCTTTCCATCCCGCCATTGTCACAGGCACGATTGGGGGAGACGAGGGACAGGGCCTTCTCGGTGATTGCTCCCAGGCTATGGAACTCCCTTCCTGGTGAGATCAGGTCGGCCCCCTCCCTCCTGTCCTTTAGAAGGATGGTAAAAACTTGGCTGTGGGACCAAGCTTTCGGGACAAGGCAATAAAGCAGCAATAGGAAAGATGACCAGGCCAATTAGATTTGACGCGGATGACTAGGACGGTTTTAAATGGTGTATTTTAATATTTTGATAAATGTTTTTAAATGTTTATGTATTGTATGTGAATCTGTGTTTGCCGTGTACATGCTGTGCTCTGCCCTGAGTCCCCTTCGGGTGAGAAGGGCGGAATAGAAGTGATTTAAATAAATAAACATTCACACTTGTTCAAATAGGCAAGGGTTCTTTCTCCCACCCTGGATATCATTCCACAGAGGATGACTCCAGGCAACAACAGCCAGGCAGCCTCTACGTAGAGACCTTCACTGATGGCCTTTGCAGCTCCATGGCTATTCAATGCTATTCAAGCTGGTGGCCAATGGCAACTTTCACACTTGCTTCAAACAAGCAAGGGTTCTTTCTCCCTCCTTGGACATCATTCCAGAGGGTGCCTCCAGGCAACAACATCCAGGCGGTCTCTACGCAGATACCCTCAGTGAGCCGTTCAGCAGTGGAACTCTCTGCCCTGGAGTGTGGTGGAGGCTCCTTCTTTGGAAGCTTTTAAACAGAGGCTGGATGGCCATCTGTCAGGGGTGCTTTGAATGCAATATTCCTGCTTCTTGGCAGGGGGTTGGATTGGATGGCCCATGAGGTTTCTTCCAACTCTATGATTCTATGATGGACTTTGCAGCTTCATGGCTATTCAACGCTATTCAAGCTGGTGGCAAATGACAATATTCACACTTGCTTCAAACCGGCAAGTGCTCTTTCTCCCACCCTGGGTATCATTCCAGAGAGGATGACTCCAGGCAACAACATCCAGACGGCCTCTACACAGATACCCTCACTGATGGACTTTGCTGTTTCAGGGCTACTCAATGCTATTCAAGCTGGTGGCCAATGGCAACATTCACACTTGCTTCAAAAAAGCAAGGGTTCTTTCTCCCTCCCTGGATATAATTCCACAAAGGGTGCCTCCAGGCAACAACAGCCAGGCGGCCTCTACGCAGATACCCTCTCTGATGGACTTTGCAGCTCCATGGCTACTCAATGCTATTCAAGCTGGTGGCCAATGGCAACATTCACACTTGCTTCAAAAAAGCAAGGGTTCTTTCTCCCTCCCTGGATATAATTCCACAAAGGGTGCCTCCAGGCAACAACAGCCAGGCGGCCTCTACGCAGATACCCTCTCTGATGGACTTTGCAGCTCCATGGCTACTCAATGCTATTCAAGCTGGTGGCCAATGGCAACATTCACACTTGCTTCAAAAAAGCAAGGGTTCTTTCTCCCTCCCTGGATATAATTCCACAAAGGGTGCCTCCAGGCAACAACAGCCAGGCGGCCTCTACGCAGATACCCTCTCTGATGGACTTTGCAGCTCCATGGCTACTCAATGCTATTCAAGCTGGTGGCCAATGGCAACATTCACACTTGCTTCAAAAAAGCAAGGGTTCTTTCTCCCTCCCTGGATATAATTCCACAAAGGGTGCCTCCAGGCAACAACAGCCAGGCGGCCTATACGCAATACCCTCTCTGATGGACTTTGCACGGGTTATTTCTCCCAACCTGGACACTTCCACATATATATATATATCCATTTGTCTCATTCTCAGAGACCTCTGAGGATGTACAAAGAGGTGATTCCCTCACCTCATAACCGGGCTCAGGCTTCCTCTGAGGCGAAGCTAGGCCCCGGCCTGTCCTGGCACGAGAGGGCGGCGCCTCTGCGGCCTAGCTCCTCCTCCTCCGGCCTCGGCGCTCCATCCCCTCCGAGGAACCAGCCATCCCTCTCTCTCTCTCTGTCTCCCTGATGGCGGAGGTGGGGAGCCTCAACGGCGAGGCCGGCGGCTGGTACTTGTCCGCCCAGGAGCTGGAGGACGGAGCCGCGCTGCTCTCGCCGCTGCCGGGCCCGCCGAGGGTGCGTGTGAGGGGCCGCCGGGGAAAGGGATGGAAAGGAAAGGCGCTCAGAGCCGCCTCGCATTGGCTCCCACACTTCCGAGGTTGCGGACTTCAACTCCCAGAAGCCTCCGCCGGCTTGTTCAATGGCTGGGAATTCTGGG